TCTGCAAACGGATGCAACAACTTCCAACAATGTTGGGACCTGCAGTGCATCGTGGGAAGGATACAACCCATAAGTCTTTGTAAACCATGCGTAATGAGCGTTCGTGGCCCCAACAATGTTGGAAGAGCTGTGCAAACGGATCCAACATGGTTGGGCTGCGCTCCGGCGATCATGGAACAACGCAGCCTAAGCGTCTATCAAGCGATGCCATCATTATTTAAGGCTTTCTAGTTCATAATCTTCACCTTTTTCATTGTTTACTTCGGCGTATAGTAGAAATGCTCGAGCAAAGTGTTAAGCTCAGCAGGCTCATAATTTTCTATTTCAAAAGTAATTTCCTCTCCTACGCACCACTTCCTCCAAGCAGGGGCCAAAACCAGTGCTTTCCGCAGTGATTTCGTTTTTAGAGCAGTTTTTTAGCTCCTCTATAGTTGTTTCGGTCGCAAAAGCAAATGTGCCACAAACGCCAGCCAGCGGTTTTTGCTCGAAACTGGTCCAGATGGCGCATTTGATTGGTTCTCAGTGAGTTCTTTTGTTTATTAACCAATCAGAATGTCACGTTTGTTACTCTTTTCTGCACTAAATTACCTTTTTTCTGCACCGTGTTACCAAAAACCTGCGTTTCTCTTCGCCAAGCACAATCGAGAAATTTTTTCATGTATATTATTACAGGAGTTATATGATCGTACCTGCGAGCAAGACTAACCACACAAGCAATACTAATTCAGGGGTTTCAATAAAAATTGAAGTAGCCGGCAGGTTTGATTAGAGTAACTGGCTGTACTTTATCTAGGGATGATCTGGGGTAGTTCTCCTCCAAAAAATTTTAAAATTTCAAAGTCCTGCATGCGATTTCCAGCGTGCTGAACGCTAAAAGTTGACTGAAATACAGCGTTCACATAACCAACTAACTAAAGGGTACCATAAGTTTGGTGGTTCTTTGTTAATTAGACAAAACATCATAATTGCGTTTTCATTGATATTTTGAGATATAGTCTTTGTTTGCGACTTTATTAAAACGTCATAGTTGCTTCTTCTTTCGCAAAAAAAGTAAGCGACTTCTCTGAGCAAAGTAGTTGACGCATGTCGTCGGTCGTCGGTGCTTATTGAAACCCCCCGCTAATTGCAGCCTAATGCTCTGATATTTAGGAAGTCCAAACAAAAGGGCATTACAATAGTTAATCATAGACGTAACAAAGGAGTGAACTAAGGTTTGAGCAGAACCTTGATCTAAGATTTTTCTTATGTTCCCTATGTTTCGAAGATAGTGATGGGAAGTTTTACATATCATTCTAAATTTATGTTTATCCATTGCCATATGCTGGTCAGGTGTCACTCCCAAACTTCTTACAAGAGCTGGTGTTTAGTAGTTTCAACTCCTACTTGAATGGAAGTGGCCACTGGCCGTGATCGATACTTGGAGCTTATAACCAAAAGCTTTAACTTGTTATTAGTCATCCATCTGTCAATGTCCACGACACAGCGATCAACCCTAGTCCTGGACTGGCCTGCTTCTACATCAGAGTTGGTCTTATAGGTGACATAACATATGGATTTAGCCAGGGCTAAAAGCGAAGCTCTGGATAGTATTTATAGTTTGCTTAATCAAAATGTAAAATCGTGTAATGCTAAGCGGCGAAGGCAACGAAAACGGTGAAAAAACAACAATAGTTCTTATTAGCAAAAAAGCAACTTTGCACGTGCAGGACACTTTTTTTGCACATTTCTTTGCCGTTGTTTTGCACGACTACAAAGTGAAATCTTCCAGAAACTTCCTCGTTACACGTTTTATGGAGGAAATGTCGTACGTGTTCTTTTGTTCACTTTTTTTTTCACTGCCGCTGTTTTTTGCCTTACCTCATTTGCTCACCGCTGCTACAAATTTTGAAAAAATGTCTCCTTGTTTTTTATCTCTCGCTCTAGCTCTCTGTCGCTCTTTTTCTCGTTGAGCTTCGCTCGTCTGTCCCCTACGTTCTTCTTTTTTCTGTCTTTCTCTTTCTCTATATTCCAATTTTGTAGACGTTACAATTAATCTAAGCTTAATACTTTAGATAACACGGATACATAAACAATTTCCGCTTTCCATTTTCGTTTTTATTGACTCTTTAGTTGTCTCTGCTTCACAAGACACGGCTGGCTTTGCGATTTCCCGACAAAATAACCTCGAGTTGCATTTGGGTTGCCATACCTGTTAATTGAGTTATTTTACATTGGTATGCCCGTGATACGGACGGTCAGGCGGGCGTACGGTCACGTGATTACCAAAATTTCTCGGATCGGTAGATTAACACATTTTCTTAGGTACGGAGCTACGCTAGAGAGCGCTTCATCCGCTCGTGGAGCTCCACTGTAATTGTGTGTCGACAGCATAGAAGTGGTACTGTAGATTATGGGTGCGTTCCTTTGGGATGATCCGGATCAGGATCAGTGATCCGAGATCACTCGGATCATGGTAGATCGAATCACCCGATGAATCCTTGTCCAGAGTGGATTCATCAGCTCATTTGATCTACCATGATCCGAGTGATCGCGGATCACTAATCCTGATCCATATCATCTGAAAGGAACGCACCCTGTGAAACTTAATGATGTCTGCAACGGGCACGGTGTACAATACATAAAGTAGGGGCTCAAGACCGACCCCTGAGGAACCTCACATGTTAAGTTACGCGTAGTTGACTTACTGCCCTCGACTTGGACATAGAACTTTCGAGGTTTTAAATAGGACTTAAACCAAGCAAGGGCCGCAACATTGAGATCAAATCGGTCTGATAATCTAAATAACAGAACAGAATGATCTACAGTATCAGAGGCCCGCAGAAATATCTAATAATAAAAGAATCAGGGAATGGTTACTGTCAATGACACAAAGAATGTCAATGTGCACTGTTATTTTAATTTTTCAATCTGTAGATAACTTTCCTTGTTCACAATTCATACAACGCTCCTGTTTTTAAATGATTTGGGCGCTGGTGAGAGAGAGGGCATAATAGCTTTTGTAAAAAATTGAACTCCTTTTTTATTTTATGAGATGTATATTAACCCTTGCAGGTCTACTGTGATGGCTTCTGCTCCAACATTAGCTCCATCCAATAAGGAGACGACTAATTACGCCAGATTATGTCGCCTTTTAGTGGATGGAGGAACCAAGGCCTTGAGATACACCTTTGACAAGTTCCACTCCCCAGCAAACTTGTTTAATGTTTTGAAAGCAGGTTCTGCAGAACATTCAACTCTGCAGTCCATTAGAAAAAGGAAAATCATCAATGCCACACAGTGGGGTAAACTGTATCCCTCTCCCCCTTCGTCTGTTACATCAAAAGACTTTGACATCACGTTATTGTTGGTGCTTCTGAGGAACATCTGTTGTCTGGCTGCTCCTACCACAGGCTAGGACAGTCTGCCACCTGCTTCAGACACGAGTGTTGAGGCTATCATAGCCAGAGTGAAGTACTATAGAAACTCGGTCTATGGGCATGCCAGCCAGGCGTCTGTGGACGATCCAACATTTAATTCTTTGTGGCAGGATATAAGTGCCGCACTAGTTGCACTGGGTGTAGATGCAGCTGCTATCACTAAACTAAAAACTGAGGCTATGGATCCAGACACGGAGACGCATTACCGAGAGCTGTTAAAGGAATGGAAGAAAGACGAAGATAGCATTAAGGACCAACTTGACAGAATGGAAGGTATTATAAGTAGTNCCACCTGCTTCAGACACGAGTGTTGAGGCTATCATAGCCAGAGTGAAGTACTATAGAAACTCGGTCTATGGGCATGCCAGCCAGGCGTCTGTGGACGATCCAACATTTAATTCTTTGTGGCAGGATATAAGTGCCGCACTAGTTGCACTGGGTGTAGATGCAGCTGCTATCACTAAACTAAAAACTGAGGCTATGGATCCAGACACGGAGACGCATTACCGAGAGCTGTTAAAGGAATGGAAGAAAGACGAAGATAGCATTAAGGACCAACTTGACAGAATGGAAGGTATTATAAGTAGTGTCTTGGATAAATAAGTGCCTTCTTTCTGAGCTTAAATGTACTGAACGATGGGCTTTAGGCGGAGAAGAAAACTTCGAACTAGACAAAAATAACTTTCCACCTACATAGGAAACTTTTCATAACTACAGTAGAACCTGGATAACTCGGATAACTCAAATTCCCCGGTAACTCGAACCGTTTTTCGTTTCCCTTCAGAGTTCGAGTTACCGGGGTTCTACTGTATAAACCGACATCGAAAGGACCATTTATAAGTAGGTTATAAGCAGGTTTCATTTAACGTCTGAAGGCTATTGACTCTGTGAGCGAGTTGTAGTGATGTAAACTTTACACGGAAGGCAACAGAAGTAAGACTTTTTAGCTTTTAGAAGTAAGAATATATTTCTCTTTAGATTTAATCAGAGAACAGTTGAGAGGGAGTGAAATGGAAAGTATTAGCGAGAAGATAACAAAGGAAGGAGGTCAGTTCCTAATGTTAATTCTAGTCTTCATAACTTGGACACTCTTTAATTTAATTAATGTTTATTGTGATAAGGTACTCACCATTCTATCAGCATTACGTATATGATCGGGTATATGGAGAAGACGGACACTTCAACTGATATAATCTAAACTTCTTCTCAATTAAAGATGTTGATGAACACCTTATTTTGCTTAGTGTATTCTTCCCCCTGACAGATAGAACAAGAGAAGACCTAAAGAAGATAAAAAACAAGATAGAAAACATCAATGAAAACTTAAGGACTTTAATGGAATCTCCGACCCGCGAGGAAGGTCAGTTTCCCCACACTGTAGCCCGTTGCTTAAGGCTAGTATTGCTGATTGGTCAGTGACTATTTGTCTGTATCACTCTTGGGCACCACAAAAACAATTCCGCATCCATACACGAATTTCTCCAAAAGAGCCCACAGTGTTGCAATTTATCCATTTGCCTTTGCTGATTCTCTCAGCAAGTGATATGAGAGATTACATACCTTGAACTAGATGGAAACGCCCTGGCGGCTATCTTGGTTTCAAATGTAGCAAGGGGTAGCTCATTTTTCTCTTAGTTTGTAGCAAGTGTTTTTGTTCCAGCAGTATTTATATTTGCTATATGTCGCTTGTGGGTCACCGGGTAGTTACTCTCCCCAGATGAAAGAGAGATGCAGCCTTTCAGCCCCAGCAAGCACGCGAGAAAATAACCTAACATTTTAGTAGGAAGATGATCGTAACCACTAATATAGTTGCCCTGCTTCTCACAAATTCAAGAGGCCTGGTAAGACTGCAGGCTACCTTTAGATAAAAAGGGGGCCTTTGTCATGTTTCATGTCGTTATTGAAGGGACCCCTCACAACAGCTGCAGTCTGGCATGTTGTACCCTAGTTTTAAATGGTGTGTTTTGGCCAGGAGAGATACTAATCGATAAAGCTAAGTTTTTGTTTGCAAATCGCCTTCTCCCAGCATGGTTATACAGGTAGTTCTATTCATTTATTTTACGGACTTGGAAAGTAGTAAACCAGACTGGTTTAGACAAATATCGACAACAAAGTTTGGTTCTCATTTATTCTCAACAGTCGATTTGGTTGCCGAGCATATTGAAATCATTCGCCAGAAGTACAAACGACATGAGGGATGGCTCGTGCCCTTTCCTTGGTGCGAAGAATTTCAGTTTCAACTAAGCGATATTTATATACGGCTTCGTATGGTCAGCAGAGAGAAAAAAGCGAGAGCAACAGCGCAGCAACGAGTTGTTGAAACGACTGAAATCTTCAAACCCCACGAAGAATGTAAACAACCCAGAAAAGTATTGATTGAAGGAAAGCCAGGCATGGGAAAGACGACATACTGCAATAAGGTTACTTACGACTGGGCTATAAACATGAAAAACAAAGAAGACTGCTTTCCGGAATTTGAGATGGTGCTTTTGGTGAGATGCCGTGATGTCGACATCGAGTCCGACCTTTGGGGAGCCATTGACGATCAGCTTTTGCCAGGTGAAATTCTCCAAAATGAAAGAGAGAAATTCTTCGAGTTTATTAGGCAAAATCAATCAAAGGTTCTACTGATACTTGACGGATTAGACGAGTTACCTTTAAGCAAACTGCCGGAGTTTACCGAAATCATACAAGGTAAAATGCTTCCTCTATGTTACCTTGTGGTTACAGCGCGACACGAGGCTGGGATACCTGTGCGAAAAATTTGTGACACTCTGCTAGAGATTAAAGGTTTCAGTTATGAAGATAGCAAAGAATTTATTCACAAATATTTTGCTGGCAAGAAAGATTTGGCTGAAAAGCTCTTGGACAAAATTAAAAATGAGGAAAGGCTTAAAGAAATGACGGGGAACCCGTTAAACACAGCACTGCTTTGCCTTCTTTGTGAAGAATTTCAAGGTATTTTACCTGAAAGCAGAACTCAGTTGTACTTGGAAATAGCACACTGTGTTCTTATTAGATACAGGAAAAAGAAAGGTCTTCCATTCGAAAATGAGGATCTGATTGAAATCTACAATGATCAGTTGAAATTCCTCGGCTCGATAGCGTTAAACGGCCTGTATGATGACAACATGTACTTTGAGGACAAAAGGCTTTCAAGTGAAAATGCCGACGTACCTGAATTTGGCTTTCTGTCAGCTCAACCTGGAAGCAGCAAACGAAGGCCGTGTCTGTGCTACGGCTTTACGCATAAGAGTTTTCAAGAATTCTTCGCAGGATATCATCTTTGTTACCAGCTTGTTAGCAAAGACATCAGTCCCTATATATTAGTCACTGACACAAGATATTTCCGAGAGCTGAGAGAGGTATTAAAATTTACCTGTGGTCTGCTAGCAGTGCGATCTGAAGAAAGTGCAGTATCCCTTATCCTCTGCATAGCGAATGAGGTAAACGAAGAAAAGGGAGAGAATGTTTACCTGTTGCGCTGGAGTGCATAAAAGAATGCAAAATTGAAAACCGCTGTTTTCATATAGAACTGGCACATTACTTTGGCACATGTCTGGAACTTCAAGAGCTTGATCTTGCGGATAATGATCTTTATAAATTGGAAAGTATAGGTGATGCTGATGCTGCTGTGCTTGCTGTCGCGCTTGAAACAAACACAACCCTGACAAATTTGAATTTGGCTCACAATAACCTTGGTTTTGCTGGTGCTGAGTCACTTGCTGCAGCGCTTAAAACAAACACAACTCTGACAAATTTGGATTTGTCTTGGAATAACCTTGGTCCTGCTGGTGCAGAGTTACTTGCTACAGCGCTTAAAACAAACACAACTCTGACAAATTTGAATTTGTCTCGTAGTAAACTTGGCCCTGCTGGTGCTGAGTCACTTGCTAAAGCGCTTAAAACGAACACGACTCTGACAAATTTGGATTTGTCTGGCAATAACCTTGGTCCTGCTAGTGCTGAGTCACTCGCTACAGCGCTTAACATTAGCTCAACTTTGAGGAATGTGAATTTGTCTGACAATAACGTTGGTCCCACCGTTGCTGAGTCACTTGCTACAGCGCTTAAAACAAACACAAGTCTGACAAATTTGAATTTGTCTGTCAATAACCTTGGTTCTGCCGGTGCTGAGTCACTTTCTACAGCGCTTAAAACAAACACAACTCTGAGAAATTTGGATTTGTCTGGCAATAACCTTGGTCCTGCCGGTGCTGAGTCACTTGCTACAGCGCTTAAGACAAACACAACTCTGACAAATTTGAATGTGTCTTGGAATAACCTTGGTCCTGCTGGTGCTGAGTCATTAGTTACAGGGCTTGAAACAAACACAACTCTGACAAATTTGAATTTGTCTCGCAATAAACTTGGTCCTGCCGATGCTGAGTCACTTGCTAAAGCACTTAAACCGAACACGACTCTGACAAAGTTGGATTTGTAACCTTGGTCCTTATAAAACAAACACACTTCCAAAAGATTTAGAATTGTCTCACAATGACCTTGGTTGTGCGAGTGTCGATTCTTGCTATAAAAGCCCCTGAAACCAACATACCCCTAGCTTTATTGAGATTGTTCATGATAAATGATGTTTAGATGAAAGACAACAGCGTTGGGCAAACTTACAATGGCTTAGAACGCGGTTTTGTTGAACACGGGCTAAACTGCGTTTAAATAACTGGCCCTCAGTGTTTATGACACGGCCAGTAGGGTAGGGCATTTGCACGCAATTTGGCCATTCCCGCGGGGAGGGAGGACTGCGATATGAAAAAGGTTGGAATTTTCATCCAAGTCAATGTGGGCGTTTCTTTTCGCTTTATATAGAGATGTAGCATGAAACTATAGTATGGAAAGTTGTTGCTACAATAGGATCAGCTAAACAAGAGCCATTTAGAATTCCTTTTTGTTTACAATAAAAGTAAAATATTATCTAGTTTTAAAAAGATTGGTACCTATGATTAACAAAAAGACATCATATTTAAAACGCAATAGACTTCCCGTTCACAAGCAATGGACTCAGACTGTCTTTGCTAATTTCATTAAAGAAGTTACAGCTTTAAGTCGATCATCGCTCTCGATTATTCGGCGGAGTTTGCGGGTTGATGGCGACGGTTCTTGATACTTTCCGTGGTAAATGTTCATTGTTGCAATCTGAATATGTTGGGTGCAATTTTGGTACGGCTGTGCCAAGGAAATAAATTGGTTTTGGAGCAGAGACTGTGGGTTTAAGTTTGAGCTAGGACTGGCTGACGGGCCGGCGACATTTTGCCTTGTGATTCCTGAAGCTTCTTGCTGAACAGCGAGTTGAGGCCGAAACGTGTCTTCTTCAAATATTTCAACACTCTCTTATTTGTGCACTTGTTGTAGACTGATCCTTACGGCAGGAAGAGTGATAGGAAAAAAAATAAAATATTGGGCAATTATAATTCACGATTTTGTTTTTTGTTTTCTTTCTTTATTTTTCCTTGTAAGGATCAGTCTTCTGTTCTAATTTTAAAATTTGAGCACCACGACACAGGCAGGCATTTCTTCCTGCTTCCCTTAAGCAAAAGGCAGTACATATACACACCCACATATCATCGCGTCCTGTCTTTGCCGCCACTTCCCAATCAATGTTTTTCCTCAATGGGGGTAGGAAAAAAATCATTATTTTTTTTTATGTAATACTTCACGAATTGGTACGTAACGTAAGTAGTTTTCAAAACTAAAAACCAAAACAAACCGTTGAGTCTGCCCAGTACCGACTGGAAGTCAACTTTGAATAGTTTATTGTGGTTAATGTTTAATAGACCCAGAATATCTCTCAGTGGAGTTAAGTTCCAGGTGGCTTTTCTTTTTGTTACAATTGCATCGTAAAATTAGCAAATTAATTATGCATATAACAGACAAAATGGCTATTTTTCTGGGGGGGCGGCAGTATCTCTCTGGGAATTTGATATTTTGACCTGATCTTTTGCTACATAAGACAACTACCGCAACTACCGATACCTAACATTTGTGCTAAGTTTGGGCGAAATCGGTGATTTGAGCATTATCACCCCCTTCCTGGTTGCACCCGGTTTTCCTATCGACACACTCTTAATTAGTCCATTGTCCATCGGTCGGATTTTGTATCAATCTGCCAGCCCGATCGCGGAGCATTTACAGGTGTCCGAAGAAAAATAGAAGGGGAAGTTGTAATTTCTCCTTCCACGGTAAAAAATGTGGCGCCGTCCCTGTTCAAAGACGAAATAGGAAGAATTAAGCAGCGATAGCGCAACGAAAAGTGATCAAAAGAGAACGCGGAAGCGCGCTAGGAGCTACTTATCGGTTTTGTTGCTCGGCAACTGCGGACACCATCGGCTCCTGTGCGATGTATAAGAATATCAGGGCCTTGATAGGCTCATGGGAATATATATGACGAAACGGAGATCACATCACCCCAAGCGATCCACGAGGAAACAACGTGGCAAGTTCTCGACAAATTAAACCAGCCATTTTCATTTAATGTCATGTAATTAGCCCCTTACAGAACAACCTAGTTTTCTTTTTGATGAACAGTGAGCCTGGGGAAAGACAAGCTTACGAAATAGCTGCAGCGGGAAGGACAGATTAAGTAATGTTTGATTAACGAGCGGGAGAGGTTTAGCGGGGTATATATGAAAACCGACCCGCGAGTTTACTGAACGACTTCAAAAATATTCCTGAAAAGCGTGTCTCAATGGAGTTGATAACAATAACGCATTTGTGAACTTTGGAAGTTAGCATACGAAAAAAACATTACGTATGAAATTATTATGTAAGAAAGTTAAATCTCACACTTGTTTAGAAATTTTCCAGTCTACGGACGACACTAACCGAAGAGGACATAGCGTCTTGTTCCAGAGCTTTTCGAAAGCCTAAAAATGTTGAGGAAGAGGTGAAGTTAATTGAAAATGGTACCCCAAAGTCAAATATTCCACTGAAAAAGTATTCTTTGAAAAAATTTTTCTGGAACGGCCGAATGGTAGGTAAACAAAAATCTAGTACTCGAGCCTTGCGTATTCACAACTGGCAAGTCCTGAGTGAAACGCTTGGACACTGCTATAACGAATTTTACCGCTGTGTCACTGAACTTTTAGCTGATTAAATTGGTGAAAGAACAAAGTTTAATAATTTGCAATAGTAAATTTACTGCATGTGTTATTTTGAAAGAACATTAAATGTTCACCCACCATTTGTTGTGTCAGTTGCTGTGCTGATAATTAATATTCATAGGTCACGTGCAATAGTATTTTTTATATAAAGAATACTAATGAGGATGAAATTTTTAAAGTTTGAGAGTGTTTTACCGGGGTTTAAAACACGAGAACGTGACATGATTTTACCGGACGTGATAGGTTGTACAGCTCATGAATTATTAATGAGTTTTTGAAGTTGTCTATAAAAATCATCAAAAAACACATTTTGATCCATACAAGAACCGCTGAAGGAAGAATTATCAACAACGTGAGTGTTCAAACGATTTATTTCAGCAAAAACAATTGGGAGTTTCGCTTATTTTGCAAAAGAAAGGAAAGGGAATTTTAATAGGTTACAATTTAGACTTTTTCATTCATTCATAGTTTATAAAATTGTCTTTTTCACTCTTTCATAGGTTACGATTTAGACGTTTGACACTGTGAAGCAGACTTTTTCGCAGTTTAACATACGACTATGTATCTTTTTTTTGCACTCTAATCTCGTCTATAAATTATCAAGCCAACTAGACCTGATGTGAAGCTACAATGAGGGACAAAAGTGTTGACACACTTCCGTAAAACGGCCCCTTTTTGCATAGTGAATATACTTATCCCCTTCCCCTGTCTACCCCAACCCTTTCCCCCCAAAGTCAATGTTGAATTTTGGACCCTCAAGTCTTCTTTTTACTTCAGACAACATTGATTCGGGGGGTCGGGGGATTTACGACGTTTAAAAGGAATGAAATAACAAATGAATTAAATGTTTGTTAAAAGCACCCGTTTTAAACAAGTGTGTCAACCACTTTTGTCCCTGATTGCCTGAAATATGTATCTGTGTTTTCCGGCTAGATTTTTGACGCTGCTGAATTTTTGGGCGATGTCGTTACTCTATGGGCCAAATTGTTTGTTTTTAAACATCAATTTATAAAGTTTCGTCCTGATTTGTAGTATACATAGAGTAAAATGTACGAAGCGTATGTCATTACTTAATCTTGTACTCCCGCGCGCGATCCTGATACCCTGTCGGGTCGAGACGAAATGATTTGTGTTGTGATCAATGCCGTTGGTACGGATGCAATGTTTTCACAAGTATTATCAATAGTGGAAAAGGGATGGAAACACTAAGGTACAATGAAAATTTTTCTGGTAAATGGTTAACTTAAGCGAATGAAGTACTGCAGAGTAACAGAGGGGACATGCATTATTTTTGACAATGACTTGTGGCGTTAGTGAAAGGACGTGAACAATATACAGGTTATGAACCTCATAAATGATGGGCCAGCCGTTTGTGCTATGCCCTATATATAGATGTGTTTTTTAATTTTTTTGAGACCTTTTCTAACCTAACTGATCCAAACCTTTAGCGTAGGTAGGCGTCGAACAGGTTAGACCAGGTTAGGAATGTACTTTTGTAATGATTTTACATGACCGCCTGTCATTTATTCAGTGGCATAATTGTTTATTGATGTTGGACGAACAACTATTTCATTTCCCAGTTCGTAAATCACAGAATGCCAATGAAATTGTTTTCAAGATAGACACACCAGTTTGTATCATGGGCAAAACAGCAATTACTTTGGCCCAGAAGTTCACCCGATGACAAGGAAAGCGGGATAACACGTGATCGATGACGGCCGTGCGCAGGAAAATTTTACTTTTTTCTACGCTAATTCCTCACAAAAGGCAAAAGAAGATTCCGCTATGTAGAAAGTGCTTCGCAATACATATTCTTGGCGAGAAAAATTCCAGCGATGTGGTGCAAATAAGGAGTTTCAACTGTTAACCACGAGAATACATATCGACATTAAGAGGTCATAACAGACTAATGTTACTTTCCGTTTGCCGAAACGTGGTTAACCGTTGTAACACGAAGGAAACAGCGTTTTCCTCAGTTTAAGCTGTCGTTTTCTTTGAGAGTCAAATACCAGTACACGTTTCAAAGCTCTCTTTTCATTTTCTCTGCCGACAATAGACAAAAACACAGGGTTTCGCTTGAGAAATGCAGTCCAAATACACAGACATATGCGCTCATGTCACGCTATTTGCGTTGCGTTATCATGTCACACAGGGTGTCACGAGGTGGGATTGAAAGTAATTGTTTTCGTGTACACTTGCAATGTTTGCTACGCTGTCCTTAGTTTTTTATTGAATTGGCCATGAATTTACCTTCACTTTTCCGTAGTTGCCATATTGAACGCAGTGACGGCCGCTCCTCACTAACGTTCCATATTTCCGTGGCCGGCCA